AGTTTTATCTTAGAGATAAAGATAAGACTCCTTATGGGAGTTTGTTACTCTATAAAATAAGAGATTGTAGAAAATTGTAATACAAAAAAAATTTGTTTGCTTTCGAAAAGCTATAGTAGCTGAATTTATAGAGTGAGAAAGAAAGAAAATTTTTGTCTCAAATTTCATGTCATGCATGTGTTGGTGTTTGTGAAAAACTTGAGTGTTCTTGCTAAGCTCGTTTTGTTTCAGGTGTGCCCACACACATGTCTTCGTAGATTTAAGGAATTGACGAAGAAGATTCGGATTTTCTAAACTAGCATTGGAGCGAGGAACGTTTGAGGTCAAAAAACACAAGTTATCATCCTAATCGGTTGCAAAGTTTAATTCACAATCTGGTTCTTAATAAATAAATTAATATAATTAATTTATTCATGTATAAATTAATATAATCTATAGAGTATCTTAATAATTTTATAAAAATTTTTGTTATACACGATCTGCTACTCACATATTTTTGCATCTGAAATTGTTTCACAAACCAACAATAGGATCTTTGATGAAGAGCCTAATAATGTTGCTGCTAGAAGTGCCGAAGGCATAATGAAAGGGAGTATTGCTCTCGTCATCTTGAGCATTTTTCACGATATCTGCATGTTTTCTTCCCAGCAGAAACTTAATTGCCTTTTCTCGGTTTTCTTCTCCTATATTGTTGGCCACAAGTATCAAATGAAAACTCAATTTTCTGTCTGGTGGAATATCAGCTTTAGCAGGTGTACAAGCTTCCGTAGAGGAGCTAGCTCTAGGGTTATTAAGAACTCATTTATTTTATCAATTTGAGTTTTCAATTCCAATTTTATTATAGTTAAAAACTCTCATAAAAAGTCACATCTAATTTTTTTTATTACAGTAAAAAATTCTCACATAAAATCACATCTCAACTCGAATTAAAAATTCGAATCCGTTTAGAGAAAAGCCTAATAGGCTGTTTCATTACACTAACTACTCCATACTTTTGCTGAGAGCTGAAATGAGTTTAAACCATCTCTGTTACAATTTGAGTTTTCAATTCCAATTTTACTATAGTTAAAAACTCTCATAAAAAGTCATATCTAACTTCTTTTATTACAGTAAAAAATTTTCACATAAAATCACATCTTAACTCAAATTAAAAATTCGAATCCGTTTGGAGAAAAGCTTAAAAGGCTGTTTCATTACACTAACTACTCCATGAGAGCTTAAATGAGTTTAAACCATCTGTTACAATCACAATATATACCATATTATTATTTTTATCCCTTTCCAAAATTCATTTCGCCTCAAATCCCAAGTTGACCACTGCTGCATTGGAGAGGAATGTGGCCTGATGAGTCAGCTACCAGTAATGATCTTGGGAAGCACTCTACTAAAGTCCCTAACAAATCTGAACAGAGATTATTTTTGTTAAAATGAAATAACATTGTTACATATTATTATGAAAATAGAAGGATCAACAGAAAAGAACTTACCTTTTTAACTCTCGAGATAATGGGATCAACATAATGGGATGTTTGTTTTTAATTCTGAATCATAATTCTTGGTTCTTTATAGTGTTTTTCTCTTATAAAAAATTTAAATTTTAAAGATCAAAATCATAAATTATAATTCTGAACCCATGAACTAAACGTCTTATTAATACCTGTTATTCTATCGGGTTCAAGATCATCATCTTCACGTAAATTGAGGGACGACTCTAGGTATATGGGGAAGAGATAACTTTAGCTAGATACTTTTTTTTTTTTCAAAAAATGAGCTAATTAATTAAAAAATAAATTAACTGTGAGTAAAAAAAAAATACCTTCAGGAAAATTCATAATAAGGGAATGCAATGCTGTCATTCATTCTCGACCAGAGTCTAAAAGGTAATTTGAAACATCTTCAATTGGGCGATTTTGATCGTCCATTCTTGAAAAGATTCGCAGCTGCAAATGAGTGTCTCTCCACTGCTAAAAACAGTGGAGATTCATTCCTTCTATTGACCACCAGCAGCAGCAGTGCTTTTCGATTGTGAAAAAAAATAAAATAAAAAGACTTTTCACTGTTTTAACGTTACTATTTTTGTTGCGTTTGGAGTAAAGATTCGTATTATGGTTCGGATTATAAATTGTGTCTCACTATACATACGTAAATTGAGAATAATTCTAAATCATGATTCTGAGTGATAAAAACTTTCTCATAATTTTCAACCAAAACTGAACTTTGGATCCCGAAGATGCTCCTGATCATATGATAATCTCCGCATTTGGCAGCCAAATGCAAAAATGTGTTACCTTCTTCATCTTTTGCAAGAATTTTTCGAGGAAATTTTTCCAAAAAGGAAATAGCAATATCTATTCAACCAAAAGCCAGTGCGGTTTTTAGAATTTCTGTTTCTTTAACTTCATTCCGCCTATTCTTTTTAAGAAATCTCTTCCTCAATATAAGTTTCATCCTTTTTGTATCTAAAGAAATCAAAAGATAAAACTCCCGTAACAAAATATATTTAGACATGTTACACTTTTTTTGTAGCAAACAAAAATATTTGAGGACATGGACCCAAAAATACTCTATAAGGAAAGAACTGGTGAAAATTAGCATATTTAAATAACGTGATCATCAGAATTTTTCTACTACCGAATTTCTAAATTATGATGCTTGATTAATTACGCCTAAAAGCAATCAAATGGACAAAAATCCTATACGTATGGAAACAAGAGTGGTTCTCTGCAAACTTCATTTACTTAAAGCTATGTCTAATGCATACATACACACATAGTAGTTGTATGTATCATCTTTTTCGATTTTTGAGTCCTCAGTTTCGGTTTTACGGATTTTTTTACAATCCTACCAACTACCACCTCAATTGTCCTCAATTCTATATAAAAAATGAAAGAAAAAAATAGCTGCTAACTACCAATTTTTATTTTAATATCCGTTTAATGTTACTTTAGTATATGACGTTTTTTTTTATTTGTCATACTTTAATTGGTTAATACATTTAACCAATTGAAGTATGATAAAGAAATTACCTTGCACACGCTTACAGTAACTTAGCACTTGAGAGAATTTAGGCAAAATACGAAATTGAACAACATAAAAAGGTATTTCAATGCTCCAAAGATTTGTAACGGTAAAAAAAAAATGATGTTGGACAAATGCCAAAATAAAAAAGATTCAAAAAATGTCCATCCAATCATCAATCATATCCTGTTACAAAACAAAATAGTTCACACACTAATAACTGAAGTAGATGTCTAACTAGTGATTGTTATTTCCTCTATGAGCCTGCCACATGGTCCTCGCCATTTCATCCCTCAAGAGACCCATTTGTCTGCGATTAGCGGTATTTCTCAGTCCTTCAGTTAACATCCTCATCCGCGTTGTCAGGGTCAATTTCACTTACCAGTACCCCTTCTTGAAAGTATTGGTTGATGAAACTGTCATTATGTTGATACATGCGTATGAAGTTATGTAAGATAGCATAAGCAATATGTATTTTCACCTGTTTTCACATCGGGTAGTTGTTGATTATCTTTAGAATGCAGAATCTTGCCTTCCACACCCCGAACGTCCGCTCGTTACAATTCTTAAGCAATGAATGCGTGTAGTTGAATAACTCCTACTCACTGCGAAATCGACCTTGACGTGCCCTATACTCTTGCAAGTGGTATGTACTACCACGATATGATGCTAAAAAATAACATGTGTTTGCGTAACCGGAGTCTACTAAATAAAATTTACCTACATAGTTTGACAAAGACACGTTAATTCATACTTGTAACAATGTTACAACCACAAACGGATAGAAGACATGTTTATTAGTAATAAGTAGACATATGCTTACCTGCTGGACAGATAGAGAATTTTTTTTCTGGCATACCAAGTGCGAATTTAAGCACTCGAGCATCGTGCACGGAGCTCTCCCACCCGACAAGCATGTACGTGAACTTCATGTCAAAGAAACACACTCCCAAAACATTTTGTGAAAGAAATCTCTTCCTATTTCTCCAGACCTCGGCA